AGGAGGAAGATTCGTTTTAGTTTAATTTCCTGATTGTTCTATCCAAGCATCGCGATAAAAGAAAAATCTATTTCCCCATTCACGAGGCGCGCGCTCACTTCGTCTTCCCTTAATAATTTCTCAATTTCAATTTATTCGGCCATTTTGCGAATAACGAATAACGAATTTCGATAAAAATTTCGTGGGAAAAAGTGGGGGAGAAAAAAATATCGCGTAAGAAAATATTTCTGAAAGTATCTAATCTAAGTGGTTTAACGCAACGCGATAATTTTTTGCGCGTTAAAACGATCGATGGATATTCCCTGGTTACGTACGTTGTGTTTACACAAGGAGAATTAACGTGCGAGTGAATTTACACGCGAGTAATAAAAGATAACCGATCCGAAGAACGATACACGTGAAGCTGTTTTGCGCAGCGACGCGATATAAAAGTGGTAAAAAATAAAAAAAAAAAAAAAAAAAAATAGCTCCCTGCGTGTCCCTGGCATACTTTATTAATTAAAAATGCCAGTCGGTCGGAATTCGCATTACATATTCCGCCTGCTATTCATCGCGAAAGTCAGAATCTTGTTGTCAAGAAGTGGCGGCAGTCAACCGAATTCGCGACAGAATTATGTTGGTTGTTACAACAAATAGTTACGAGAAACAAGTGATAAAATGTATTCGTTCCAGACCAAGAGAGTTGTTTCGTGGACGCTCGTGTATCGAACTTTTTTTTAATCCTTATTATCCTTGTTTGTAAAATTGGATTATTTCGAATCGTTATAATTTTTTACAGATTTCGAATCTCTTGGATAAATTCATACACCATCGATTTAATCCCAGATTGGGAAACCTCTCGCAAAGGACGTGACTCGAATCATCGATAAGATGTGAACCAACGAATTAATCAAGTCTTCGAATATTTTCGAATATTATTAAAATCTCGATATATATATATATCGTGCTTTACGAATCATCACACTGAAATTTTAAAAAAAGATATTTTGAAATTTTTCCACCGGATTCTGTCTATTAGGGAATAGGAATTGTGAAACGATTTGACCAAAAGTAACAGCAAAAAAGTTAACTTTCTTCCACTACACTGAGCTCACTATCGTATCGCCGTCGCGCGACGGTCGAGAAGAGGAACAAAAAACAAAACAGAATCGAAATAACGATCGTCGCGTCCAGTGACGCTCAATTCATACATAAATATACCAGATATAAGTCGCGCCTTTATAAAACTCAACGCTTCTGAATCCCATCGTCCAAAGAAATTGACATCGCTCGATGAAGAAAAATTCAAGACGACGATGGCTCGCTTCGGAGAAGTCATATAAAACGCGATATAACATTTCGTTGTTCGCACGACACACCTTGTCATTTTCCACTCTACTTGGGCACAAAGAACGGAAGAGAAGGGGAATAAAAAGGATGGGCAAGCCTATCCAACGTCTGTGCGCACACCGTGCGAGGATGTCACTCGTGAGAAAGCGTTGTTCGTGACCTGACGCGCAAACAATGTACCGGCGAAAATATTTCTTCCTGCTGGTTTCCAGACCGGCACTGTAGCGAGCCGCTTATACACGCGCTTGAAACTCGAGCTGAAAGTTTCCGGGGGACGCGCTTTGCTTCGGAGAAAGTATTGTTTTCGCTCGTGCACCACCGAAATGGTACACCCTTTCAAAACTCGGCGAATGTTACCGAGTACCAGACTACTGCGAGATATATACGAAGATTAATATCAACTCGATTTGACGTAATTTGACTTGGAAAATAAACCGTTTGCGTCGTTCGTCTTGGATCGAAAAATATGTGTCGGTCGTCGATCTGTCGATCTGCAATTTGCGCTAATCCCGTATATCAAATCCATCGGAAAAAGCATTACGAAATACAGGATGTCGATACCAAAGCGTTACTAATTGAAGCGTAGAATGGTGAAAAATCGTTTCGGGCGGAATTTCGGTAGAGTAACGAGGCCGTTATTGAATCACGTTCGATATTTCCGATTGACGTTATGACAAATAATAATCGCGGAGGATATTTTTCGAAAGCTCATCGAGCATTAATACAAATCTCTAATATTAATTTAATTCCATTTTCTCAAATTAATCCCTGTTTATCCTCCTTCCTTCCAAATCGATCGATAAACCTTTTCCTTTTCTCCTTCCCTTTCTCTTTCTTCCATTTCGAGTCGCCAATTCTCGGTGACGCGGCGTTCCCCCATTTTGCAAGATCTGTTGCTTGGGTAACATTTGCGATTAGATCGGCATACGAATCTATCATCACTGCCTGCTCTTCGAGCAGGTCGATCGTTTCGAAACTGGAAGAGATAGAGGAATAAATAAAGGAATGGAATCGAATCGTTTTCGCCTCTGCTCGCGATGGCTTGGTCTCGCGAGCCAATTGAACGCGAGTTTCCATCATTCGCGATAACTCTCTCGTTTAGAGAGATACATACCCGGGAACCGGGTGTGTGCTCGTGATTTTCTTCGGGCGGCGCGCGATATACGATCCACGTATCTCTGGTTGAAAATCGCCGCCATGTTTCTCCCGCGAAAAAATAAAGGATATAGATTTAGGTTCGATTTTTATTATTCTTAATTACTGGTAGTTAATTATTTATTATTTGATGAATGAACATACGTAAGTTGTTTAAAGTTAAATATGCTGGAATAAAATGTTTATTTACTAAACTGTATAAAATCTCGATCTATTTTTTTTTTTAATTTTCGATGCCCGGCGAACGAAGAGTATGATGTGTTTTGTTATTCATGACGAAAATACGATTTGAAAGCTGCTGCTGCTGCTGCTGCTGCTGCTGCTGCTGCTG